AAAATAAATAAAGATATTCATATAGGAGACTCATTTCTTTTATTTAGACAGTACATTCTAGATTTTCTTCTTGCTTCGTAGATAGAAGCATATATCAATGGCATTTGTTAATGGCAAACAATCAAAACTTCAAAAGATTATACACAAATACATTTTCTGGGTTTTATCTTTAGTTTGGATGGAGTAAAAAATAGAGAGAATAGAGATTAGGGGGAAAACTTTCAAAAATAATAAAAAATCATTATTTTTGAAAATTTTTCCCATTAGTTTTTCCCTCTCCCTATTTTCTTATCACTTTTTTTATCCATCCTAGTCAAGTCTTAAATCATCTTGACTGCTTATAATTTCAATCAACCAGGCTCTGTATTCATGGGCTTTAGGCCGCTTGGTTTTTTTTGTGAATAACACAAGGTCATATGCATTAACCAACAAACAAAAAAACACAAAAGTTTAGGCCCAAATAGCCCTTTTACTGTGATAGGTTATAAAGTACCAATAAGACTAGGTAGATTTAAGAGCCTGCAACCAGGGGATAAAAATAACTGATTGCAGGGCACCATTGGCAAATAATGACTTCTCTCTCTCTGTTTTTTTTTTTTTTTTTGAATGGAAATGGAATAGGATTGGGAAACACATCGACAATAGAACCGGAGAAAAATGAAACAAAACTTGAAGAGTATGCTAATTAGGACATGTTCAGGAAAATAAATAAAAATCTGATAATTTATGTGCTGCATGTGCATTCCTTTTACCATTAACTCTTATCACAATTAAATTAAATAATTAATTTATCAGAGTGTAAAGTTTATTTAATTAAATTGAGATAAGAAATATTTAATTAGACCTGAGTAATAAAATGATCAAGGAAATGTGAATAGAAAAGCATTGCAAGACACAAATGTAGAGATGCACATACTTAAACTAAATCCTAAGGCTAAGTAAAAACTTGTTAAAGAGACAACATTAAAATTCATCTTTTCTTGATAACTCCTAATTAAGGATGAAATAATGAAAACTAATTTGATCAATCATTTTAGCTTATTAAAAGACATAATTTCCATGTTTAACATCAAAGTTGTGAAAAGGTGCATTTTATGACTAAAATATCCCTAATGCATGTAACATTTATATCTAGGCAAATATGCATAGTGAATGTCTTATGGATATATTTGGGCATGTAAAGTAATCCAAATAAGCTATGAAATATGTGTAAATAATGAGTATTATCACCTTACTTACTAGGTAAACTTTCACCCATCCATGATCATGCAACATACTTACGTTATTCAATAACATGTTGATAAGTTACATTTATTTCACATTTTTTCTTGTTATTATTGACCAAAAATTATGTTATATTTATGTTATATTTACCCAATTGCATTAATCATAAAAAAATTATCTAAGTATAAGATTCTATACATTAGGAGCATTTTGATCATAAAATTAAAATTTTGAGAAAATGGTTGAGAAAATTTGTTAAGATATATTTGTAGTCTAGAATAAAAATGGTTCAATTAGATTTCTTAAACTAATTTTAGATTGAGAATAATTAATTTCACAAGTTGACAATTTTGAAAAGTCAAAGTTTCGGGTTGGCTTGCTTTCTTACACTTAGGTTAGGTCATTGTTGTGCATATGTGGCTTATAATTTTTGGGCTATTTGGCATGCCCCTTTGTCCTTTTTTAATGTCATAATTGATTTTTATTATTAATTTACATCGTGCCACATATTTAAAAATTAATTTTAATTGAAAAATGTAAATATTATTCATATACTTTGAACTTTGATTTTGTATGTCACACTTATTTGTGTAGAGTTACACACTTTATATTTGGCATACGAGGACCATTGGATTGGAATACTGGATGAGTATAGAGAAAAAATTCTTGAATTTTGGGTAAGACTACAAGCCTTGCATGATCTTATACACATTGTATCACATTTTGATTTCACTCACTCTCTCTCTTAATTTTCTATTGTCTTTAGCTTTATTTAATTCAATTTTCAAACCATGTTACTTTGAATTTTTGTGCATTTTACCATGATAAAGAATAAATTTATCTTGAGTCATTTTTCACTAATTTTTTAATACTAGAGTTGGGCTCATTCACCCTATACTTGAATTAAACTATCCTAATTTTATTTTTCAGCATTCATTCTTTATTCACTCTTATTTTGCAGCCACCTTCTCCATTATCTCTCTATTGTTCTTCATGTTCTTCATCTCCATCTTACCTTCTCTCCTTCATATCTGATGATTTAACTATTAAAATTTTAATTCGACTCCATCATTCTTATTTTTCCATCTCACTCTTCAAACCTTAAGCTTTATTTTCTTGATTTGGCTTCAAAATTCTCAAGGTGTTCATGAGTATGGTTCAACCATAGTGGAAGGATTGTGCTCAAGTGGGTTCCAAGATGACCAGAAGCTAAATCTATAAGGAGAGAAGGATGCTAAATGAGTTTTTCAGCAGCAACAGTTTGTCGATCGCTTTTGATTGGTAGTTTATGTGGCAACAAAGTTTGTCGCTAATGTTCAACATTCAGTAACAACTAAATGGTCAACATTGATATATGATTTTTACTAATTCTTAATTTTTAGTGGTAACTATCTTTCTATAGTGACAAGTTTTCCTTTTTATGGTGACATTTGTTGTCGTTAATTGAATATTTTTAATAATAACTTTTATTATCACTGCAGATAAAATCAATGACAAGAGCTCTCGTTGTGATATTGTAACGACTTTTGGTCACTGTTGAAAGTTAATTTTTTTTTGTAGTGAATGTAACCCTTACTATTGACAAAAATCAACTTTAATTATTGTTTAATCAAAAAATGATATTAAAAATTATATAAAAGGACCAAGAAAAATTTCTTGATCATTTTCTATAATTTGTTGGATCATTGTTTGTGACTTTTGAGTCCTTATCTATTTGCATAAAAAAAGAATAATTAAAAGAGTTCTTGATCTGGAAGCTCGCTCATTTACATGAAAGCTTAAAATATGTTTGTTTTTTCCCCGTTTTACTTTAGGTGGCTGATCCAAATACAAATACGTGAAAGTCATTTTCTTATATTAACTTTAATTTGTAGATCTCAATTTATTCTTTAATTTTATAACTTCTAATCCAGACGTGCCTGAAGTTGTATGAAGTTGATCTCACTAGTATTGTGTGATTTTTTTTTTTTAATATGATGCAAGTCATTATCTTACAATATTGACGTTGCTTGTATTTTTCCACTTGAAGGAAGCATCTTATTAATCTCCCATAACTAACCGACGATAACCTTATCTCGCTGTGAGTACGAGCCTGTGGACCGTAGGCAACAATACAGCTTGGAATTTCGTGTGCATGCAGTTGATCTCACCGGGTCTGCTGTGACTTTTCAAGTTATAATGCCAGCTAGCTAGCCAATATCTTGCAATATTGAACTATCTCATTTCCGCTCCGATGAAATAGGTCGGGAAGTGGCTTTCTCTGGTCTAGGACCTATTGAATTTAATAATTTTTAAAAATACAGATTAGGTTATGTCATTAAAATTTAATCTCCAATCGTTTTAAAACTACAATGTAAAGAAATGAAGAAACTCTATCCTCTTGCATCCAAAACGGGTTGTTATTTGTCAAAATCATTGATATTGATTGATTGATGGACCAAGTCAAGGTCTTCGTGGAAAGTTACTTTTTTTTGTTGTTGTTTTGGCCAACTTCGTGGAAAGTTACTTGCATTTTCAGATTTGAGTCGTATGGTTGGTATAGTTGGGAATATAAGTGAGTTTAATTTTTATGAACTCGAAACTTTAAAGGCTTAAGTTTTTAAGTTAAATTTTTTATTTTCAATCTCTTTTTAAGATCTAACTCTTATATAAAAGGCTCAAGATTGAATTTAAAAGTCCTGTTCTAAAAACTTAAAAAAATTAAAATAAAATTAAACAGTATAAATTAATTAAAATATTTTAAAATAAAAAAATTAAAATTCTCACAATATTTTAAAAATTAAACATGTTTAGAAATCTAAATAACATACATTTATCAATCAAAACTCAAATCCTCCTCATCCTCATCGTCAATGAATAAAACATTAGATCCCTCGAATGTAAGTGTACTTGTTGAAGATGAAAATAAAAATTCAATGTCAATTACCTTTACAACTTCTTCATCATCACTTATAATAAATATTAATCAAATTGTGTTATTATCAATCAAATATATATATGTACTCTGTGTGTGTGTATATAAGATAACTAGGTTTATTAAAATTTAAAGGGTCGCCCGAACCTGAGTCTTTTTTTACAGAGCTTATCAAGACCAGGCCCTCAAATTCATTTCTTCTAAAAAAAATAATTTTTAAAATTTAAACTCTTATTTAAATTGAATTTACAGACCCAACCTTTATTTTTGTCTCTAATGGTCGGTCGCTGAATCTAACTAAGCAGTCTTGCGTTTCAGACGGGTAATAAAATTCCCATTTATTATGGGAGGGACCCTCCACAGTCATGTCCCTTGGTTTTTTTTTTTTAATACCTTTTTTATGACTTTGGGGGGTCATCCCTCCCACAATAAATTAACTAAGCTTTTAGAATTTTTATCAAAGAAAAATACCCCATCTAGCACTTTAATTTATTGCTTGGTTTTAGCATATATATCAACTTTTTTTTAATGATCCTATCTCTTGATGTAAGAGATTGAAGGAACAAACTATCGGAAAAAATCTTGTGCGTGGGTTGTTGTGTGTTGTGTGAGAAATGTACGTGTGTGAGATCTTATTGGGGAAGGATTAAATAGGATATTTAAAAAAAAGTTAACTTTTAATTTATACGTTTTCATTATTTAATTGGTTATAAAATCCATACTAGACAGACTATATTGGAATTTGACCGGCCGGTCCATGTTATTCTCGTGTTATTCAGACTCGGTACGAATTCTATCGCCAATCAAGTTTTTCTATAAATTAAATGCCAAGCACTCGCAGGGTTGAAGCAAACCATTATCCTCGACCCGCTCCGGACGTGGAGAAACCAGTACAAACATCATGTTCCAGGACCGCTGCTGCGACGACGATGAGCGCCGCCAGCTCATCCGCCGCATACTCATCGGCATCCTGGCCCTAACCGGCCTAATACTTTTCATCATCATCTTGATACTCATCATCTTGAGACCCACCAAACCCCGTTTCACACTCCAGGATGCAGCTCTTTACGCCCTCAACTCCAACGAATCACCTTTTCCCACCCTCAACCTCACCATGCAGGCCACTTTCTCTGCTCAAAATCCCAATGACCGAATCGGCGTTTTCTACCGCTCCCTCGAGGTCTACGTTACCTACCGCGACCAGCAGGTCTCGCTGACCGTGCTCCTCCCTCCCGCCTACCAAGACCACCACGACATCACCTTCTGGTCGCCCTACTTGTACGGCATCTCCGTGACCGTGCCACCATACGCGGTGGACGCTCTGCAGCAGGATAAGAATGCTGGGGCGGTGATGCTGAAGGTGGTGGTCGAAGGAAGAGTTAAATGGAAGGTGGGTTCGTGGGTATCCGGGACGTACCACCTCCATGTCAACTGTCCCGCTTATATCAGGCTCGCCGGTAGCCGGATCAATGGGATCCAAAGTTGCGGTGTTGATGTTTAATGCATTTCATGTGAGAGTGTAGTCATAATCAAAATAGCTGTTGATGATATATATAGAGAGAGAGACAGAGAGTGATTTACCTTGACCTAAAACACTCTTCGTCTTGTTTATTTTCTTCCACGTGAGCGAGATAATCGATATATCTCGTCGAGTCCTCGATGTTTCCATGGATAACCAATAAGCCAGATTAATTAATTTCAGTTCTTATTAATTATTATTGTTTAGTCTTCACTTCCTACGTTGCATGCACCTCATATATAGTACTGCTATTGCTATTGCGAAGACAGTTTTTTTTTTTTTTAAATATATATATCAAATGCTATTGGTTAATCTTTCCCGCCTTTTTTATTCTAACATGGCACCTTGAAAATTGACGTGCGTTTGTTTATGTGAATTGGCATGACCTCCGATTTGGTGAATATAATTCCCACAATTGAGAGAATCTGGAGTTTGTAATTTTGGTTCGAAACATAGTCGAAATTATGTTACTGATGGTTTGTGTGATTGATAATTAACGTGATATTAAGAAGACAATTTCTCGACCACCAAAAAAAAAAAGGACGCTTTCTTATCAATATCAAGTGAGCGGACTTGGCGGGCATTCCATTGATTCCTAATATTAAAAAGACACTCTCTTATCAAGTGACTTGCCGTATTCTTTACCACTAAAATAATTACCAATTCGAAGAACATTTGTTATCGCCTTGTTAGGTGGGAGATGGGGCAGTCAGTCTTTGAGGACCCCAGACAAGAAGAAATCTTGGCAGAAATAAAAAGCGGAACCGGTTTCGCATCATCTAGCAAGATCTGAACCGTTCAAATTTTAATTTAAATGATCCAAATTTTTTTAATTTTAATTTTATATTTTATAGAAATAAAATTTATAAATTTTTTTAATAAATATATTCATCATCAATTTGGACAGTGTTGATTCAATTTGAGATTCTGAGTAATTTAATTTAATATTATAATTTTCATAAACTGACCATCTAAATATATTCTAGACAAAGATAGATTTAATATTAAATTTTTCAATAATTTTTTATTTTATTAAATTTTTAATATTTTTTATTTTAATAAATATAAAATTAAAATAAAAATAAAAATTTTAAACCTAGACCTTATAGATAAAAATTTAATATTGAATTTGGATTGTCCAGAATACATTTAAATAGTTAATTTATAAAAATTATAACATTAAATTGAACTATCTAAATTAAATCAATACTGTCCAGATTGATGATAAATATATTTATAAAAAAATTATAAATTTTATTTTTATAAAATATAAAATATAAAATTAAAATTAAAATTAAAAATATTTGAATTATTTAAATTTTAATCTGAATGATTTAAATCTTGCTGGACGATGAGTACCACGGAGGGCACCGAAACTGGTTCCAAAATAAATCAATCTGGATGGTAAAGATTTTGTTCGATGACGAGCACCACGGTGCTCTGAACCGGTTCCAAAGTAAACCAACCTTAAAAAAAGACTCAAGTCAGCAGGAGCATGTCCCATCGCTGGGCATTTATTTATTTATTTTTAAAATAAAACAGCACGTCCTATTCTTCTCCTCACTGTCAATGTGTCAGTTCGAACGCGGGCCATGTGAAAGGATTATTTTCCTCAACACCAGCATCGAATATTGACAAGCATGTCCTTCTCGCATGGAGCCAGGACTTGGTAAATTGCATGTATATATTTTTTATTTCATACAGAAATTTATTCGTCAAGATAAATATAATTATAAATTGAATTATATTTGCACAGCCTTTGTTGATTTTTTTTTGAACTTATTTATTCAATTTAGTACTATTTATAAGATATTTTGAGGGAACATTTTTCGTTTCTGTATAAGATACATGTGAAATATTCATTACAGATTTTTCATATTACATTTATTTAATATTAGTTATTTTTTCAGAGTTACACATTACGTATTTAAATAAAATAAAAATTATTTTTTTAAAATTTTTTCAAACAGAATTATTAAGTTATAAACTTTTCTGATGGTAATGTTTCAAGTGTCTTATAAAAAATCATAAACATTTTGTTCATAACTATGTTAGAAGTGCCTTTATCTTTATCCCGTCTGTCTAGTCTCTCCCCTGCCAAGTCCGATGAATAAGGAATTACTCCATCTATTGACATTTATATGATGTCATTATTTATTTATCAAATAATGACGACATCTCATAAAATAAAATAGTTTAAAATGAAATATTTATTGCATAATATTCAATTGTTGTTCACCTTACTGGTCTATTCATGCCTCCCAGACGGTAGAAAATAGAGAAAACACAATTATCATCCTTCTAATTTTATTGAATTTTATTTTTAATATTTTAATTCTGAAAACCCTAAAATTATAGGGAACTGAGTCATATATGTCACTCAATTTTTTTAAAATTATAAAAATTAAAAATACTTAAAAAATTATAATAATTAAAAATAAAAGCAGATAAAATTATAAGAACTGATGATTGTATTTTTTTCATTTGAAAAATTTAAAACGAACAAGGCCCGTTATTCTAGTTCTAGGCCCACAACAACTGGACACCTCGCAACTCATGTTCCTCCCTGCATTGCGCTTTCCGTTTGACCTTTTGGCGCCCTTGGTAATTGGATGTCCCCAGACTCCAGATGGCAATTCTTTAATTTTTTTTTTGGGTAATTGGAATAACTTCTCTGTGCTTCCCTCAATCCTGATTCCGTGACCAGAGAAATCATCATCGGAGAATCTCAGTCCTCCCGACATCAACATGGACAAGAAAGATGGAAAGAGAGTGGTGGTTGTCGGAGGTGGTGTTGCTGGATCCGTCGTAGCTAAATCTCTCCAGTTTAATGCTCATCTTAGCCTCATTGATCCGTATGCTTTCCTTTTACTTCTTTGTCACCTCTTCATTTCTTCTTTGCATCTACTAATAATCCTTCAATCCATAATCTTTTTACCCACAATTTCCCAACAGTGGAACTTTGATATGTTATTTTAGTATATTCTGGTTAACCTCATCCTCATAAATTTTTATGTTGACAGTCTTAATTACATTTTATGCCCGTTGAACATTTATTCGAGGGGCTTGTTTGGCTTTGAAACCCTTGTCCTATTCATTTGGTTTCATTGAATAGTCTAAGGGAATCTGGAGTGGGAGTTTATATCATTTCATATCCTACTCATGATTAACTGATGCATAAATCTTTTAATGGAGCGAATGTCATTTTCATTGATTTGGTTGAGTACATCTGAATTCAGGAAGGAATATTTTGAGATTCCATGGGCAAGCTTGAGGGCAATGGTTGAACCATCCTTTGCAGAGAGGTCTCTGATTAACCATAGAGATTACTTCACCAACGGCAACGTTGTCACCTCCAGTGCCACCGATATTGCAGAAACTGACGTATTGACCGCTGATGGCCATCGGATACCCTATGACTATCTTGTTATTGCCACAGGCCATAAAGATCCTGTTGCTAAAAGTAGGGCAGACAGGCTTGATCAATACTTATCAGGTAAATTTAAATTTAACTGGACTAGATGGAGAACAAAGAAATCTGTAAATTGAAACGTTAGCAAATGTGCAGGCAATAATCTGTTCCAACATGAACACTCGACAGCATTACACCGTTTTTGAGGAGAAAAGTATTGCCATTGAACCATGATACTGTTGTACAGCTATGGAAAGATATGTTAGAGCACAGCGCATTATCTGGGATAATTTTTTCTGACCGTTTTCTTGAGGCAGCCATATAGTGCATTGATAGTGTCGATTGTGGATTATGGCATTATGCTGTGTGAATGTTTAATATAATAGATTCTGCCATGTAATGCATTGACCTAACCAGAACACAAATCATAAAGCTTTTTATACTGGCAGAAAATCAGAAGATAAAATCTGCAAATTCCATCCTGATTATTGGAGGTGGTCCGACTGGTGTTGAACTAGCTGGAGAGATTGCTGTTGATTTTCCGGATAAAAAAGTTACTCTAGTGCACAGAGGATCCAGGCTGATGGAATTCATTGGGCCAAAAGCTGCTGATAAGACTCTAAAATGGTTTGAATCAAAGGGAGTTGAGGTGAAGCTAGAGCAAAACGTTGACTTGAATTCCATTGTAGATGGAAACAAGACATGTCAAACTTCACTTGGAGAGACCATTGAGGCAGATTGTCATTTTGTTTGCACAGCAAAGCCACTTGGTACAGCATGGCTTAAGGAAACGGTGTTGAAGAATGACTTGGATGCTTATGGAAGGATCAAGGTAGATGAAATTTTGAGAGTCAAGGGTCGGAAAAACATATTTGCTATTGGAGATATTACAAATATTCCAGTAAGTGCTTATCACTTCCTAGTTGTAATCTTGTAAGTGAAAAGTTTTCTATCTGAATTTCAGCACTGAAACTTTTGGGGATAAAATTAGCCACTAAATTTATTATGTTCGAAGATTTCCTCATATTATGTCCAAAATGTGTATTATAGGAAACCACTGTCATTTAAAAATTTAATTAGGAGAGGCCTGCTATTTAAGGCTATTTGGCTGACTTCTCATATGCCGAAACTTTTCAGTAGTCAGTAGTTGGTACGTTTTCAACAGTCACCTCTAAATTCTCAGTGTCAGAGTTATTCGTGTTTAGCACTGATTTCAGTTTTCAACCTGGCTCTCTGCTCTTGGTGTCCTTGCTCTTTCCTTCACGTTTTGTCATGTATACATTACAGCATGTTTGATGGTATGAACTAGGTTTGTAGATTGTCCTCTATTGCCAGTGATGAAAATATTTGAATACTGCTTACGAAACTCATGAACGCCGATCCTCCAATTCTATTTTGAGGCATTTGCACCATTGCATCATGGTCCCATCTTTTACCTGAGCAGTTGACTGGAGGCTTCACTGCCTGCCTGTATCTTTCATGGTTGGGTTTTAGGTCTTTGCTGTGCCTTAGCTGGGGGAGAAATAAGTGTCTAAAACCTGTGAGTCTAGAGACTCAAACATGTACATGCATAATCTCCTACCCATTTCTGTCATTGTAGTACTTGGACCGTCTATTGCATGAGTCTCAGATATGTTCCATATAAAAAAAAAATTGCTGTCTTTGATTTGAATCCGTGGCATTTTAAATGTCCTTGTAAGTCAACCTCAACAGAAATTCTATGATGGGAATCTGCACAACAGGAAATCAAACAAGGGTTTCTGGCACAAAAGCGGGCTGAAATAGTTGTAAATAACTTGAGGCTGTTGATGGAAGGAGGTAATGAAGATAAGATGAAAACTTACAAGCCACATTCAGCATTGGCAATCGTATCGCTTGGAAGGAAAGATGCGGTGGCACAGTTGCCATTCATGACAATCAGTGGAAGAGTTCCTGGCATGATAAAGTCTAGAGATTTGTTTGTTGGAAAAACAAGGAAGCGTTTGGGACTCGAACCTCATGTCACACAAACTTGAGTAAAATATAGGCAATGGTGATGGTGTATTAGTATATACAAATGATCCCACTCTCCTATCGCATGCTTATTGTGCATTACTTGTCCTTTTTTATCATGCTCTTTATTAAAGCAAAGGAATGCATTTGTTTCCATGATGGAACTATTTTGATGTTGATAAGTGGCTTACTGGCTTGTCTAGATTTAATTGTGAGTGAGAAGCGGTATGCAGGTTTTATTATTGGGTTATTGGAGCATTTTCTTTTTCTTTATTTTCCCCTTTTATTAAAATTGATTGTTAAACCCAGCCGGCTTATTCGTTCATGTTTGGGTGTTTGATATATTATACTCGGAGCCTCCCACCACCACCACCGTCATTAAACTCATTCAGCTACCCCTTGCCTAGCCAAACCGGTGAAAACTCATCTTAAAGTTCCGTAGTGGGATAATTGAGTCAAATATATATTATTTTTAATGTTGAAAAAAATGTTTACTGAAAACTGAAAATGAAGCGAGAGGTCATAGTTCAAAACATTCAATCTCTTTCTCAGGTATTTTTTTTTATTTTGATGTTTTTATTTCTAATAATTTCTCTTTTTTTAGACTAGAGTTTTATTCCTATCCTCTCAGGAATAAGGTTCTTTTTCTTTCCTTTTGTTTTTTTTATTGTGATCTTTTCTTTCTATAATTGTCTTTATATCAGAGAGAGAGAAGGGAAATGAAGCGGGAAATATTATATGCATATTCTCCTATATTTACGGGTAAATATGATATCAAGTGAATAACTAAACTATATAACGAGTGAAAATTAATATTAAAATGCAGGAGGATTCAATGATTTTGTTTCTTTTGGGGACGTGATGAACGAGTTTGATTTTCAATATATGTCCTCTATTTTCATAGTCTAATGTTTCGTTTATAAAAATAATAGATTTTTTGCCATTTAAATTGAATTACTTGGCTGTTAGAGGTTCAAAACTAAGTGACCTAAACTTTGAGCTGTGAGTTATTTCTTATTTCTACATTATTATTATTTATAAAAAATAATATAATATTTTCACCCAGACTTGAACGCATCTTGTGTAGACATGTTGGACCAAGAAACAGTGTAGTTGGGAGATTGCACACTGTAAATAATGTGACAGCTACAAATGTGAATGATGAAGTCCATGACAATGAAGGATGTTGCAGATGGCTTGTTCGTTCTTGAAGAATCTGGAACCCACCATCACGCACCTGTTACCCCTCCCTCGGGAATAACTCTCCGGCTCGTTTTATCAATTTTAAAACACAGGCTGAAGATATAATGAGTGTTCCTCTACGAAGGAAAATAAAAGTCAAGCTTTTTCCATTAGTCAAAGCACCGATGAAAGGGACGGATAATCTAAGCTATATTTAGACAAACTCCTTCACGCCAAGAAACTAATCATATAAACAAGACTGCAAAGGGAAAATGAGCATGATGACAAAATTACAGGATCCTTTAAACTAAAGGAAAGTAGAGAGAGGATTCCCGTTTATCAACATAATCAAAAACTTGGTTTGGGTCTTGGGTGGATTATTTCTCCTTTAAAATTCTTCAGCTGGCCGTCTTATTTGAATATCTTTTGGCCAGGGATTGTTGACCTGCGATATCAAGTAACGGCTGATGCAATGCTGACAGCTGGAGATTTGTCAATTTTCAGTTGTAAAGGAAGCATCCTCAGAACTACCTGGGATTAAAACCATGTCGCGATTTTTTTATTTATTTATATGTTTCCACTTAAATAATATAAACGGAGAAGTAGCAAGCTAATGTAGGCTGTAAAGCGGGAAGGATGCACTAATATACAAATGATGCCATCTTGACTGTTTGTTCAAATTCTACGCCCACAATTTGCCGTTTATATATTCTTAATTTTGTAAAACGCGATTACTTCTTTGGACACGCAATGATGCAAGCACATTGTACTCTATTAATGCTGCCTCATTTCCTTCTGTGAGCAAAACATCAGCAAAGCCAAATTCAGCTAAACAAAACACAGCATCAACAAATGGAGAAGAAAGTTGTCATCGTCGGAGGTGGTTTTGCCGGTGCTGTCCTTGCTAAAACTCTTCAAAATCATGCCAACGTCACTCTTATTGATCCGTAAGCTCTCTCTGTTTTTTTTTAATCCATTGCACAGTGATAATCTCCCCGTCTTTTGCTAGTTCACCCTGTTGTCAAGTTTTTCTTCGCGGAACCTTACTTCGATTAAACCCTCCTCTACTTTTAGTTTAATGTCATGCTCTTCAAGTTTTTATGAAACTTCTTTGTTCCCAACTTATCAACATTCAAACTTGATGTTCAAGTAGTCTGCTTTTCGAGTTATTTGATGTTCTTTAATGAAGAGCGTTCCCCTGCATGGACATGGAACTTTCTGATTGAGTGATATTGATCCCAGGAAGGAATATTTTGAGATTCCATGGGCGGCTTTGAGGGCCCTGGTCGATCCATCTTTTCCAGAGAGGATAGTGATCAACCATAGAGATTACTTCAAGAAAGGCAACCTTGTTACATCCGGTGCCGTCAATATAACAGAAACTGAAGTCCTCACTGAAGATGGTTCTCAGATTCACTATGACTTTCTTGTTATTGCCACTGGCCATAAAGAACCTCTTCCAAAAACTAGGACTGAAAGACTCGACAATTATAAAGCGGGTAATCTCTTAGCCTTTACTCATAGAATCTATACCTTCGAGTGAATAAATATTTACTTGCAAGGGATCTTTCCAATGGCAGAACATGAAAAGATAAAATCAGCAAGTTCAATTCTGATAGTCGGAGGGGGACCTACTGGTGTTGAACTTGCTGCGGAGATTGCTGTTGATTTCCCCGAGAAGAAGGTCACTCTAGTGCACAGAGGAACAAGGTTGCTGGAATTCGTTGGGCCTAAGGCTTCCGGGAAAGCCTTGAAGTGGTTGAAGTCAAAGAAAGTTGAAGTGAAGCTAGAGCAATCAGTCAATTTGGAGTCGGTTTCTAATAGTGCATACCAAACATCCGGTGGAGAAACTATCGAAGCAGATGTTCATTTTCTTTGCACAGGGCAACCACTTGGCTCAGCATGGCTCAGAGAAACTATGTTAAGGGGTCACTTGGATGCTGGGGGAAGGATCCAGGTTGATCAGAATTTACGGGTCAAGGGCCGAAGCAACATTTTTGCAATAGGAGATATTACAGATGTTCTGGTAATTAAGTGTAATTAAGTAATGATTTAGTAGCTTTCTTTAAGAGCCAAAGGTCAGTCCTTTTGACTGACAGAAATCTATGTGGCGCAGGAACTAAAACAAGGGGTGAATGCAGGAGAGCATGCTCAAGTGGTCGCAAAGAATTTAAGGGCATTGACAGGGGAAGGAAAAGAAAAAAAACTAGGAGAATATAAGGCACGGCCTGCTATAGCATTTGTTTCACTTGGAAGGAAACAGGCGCTTGCACATTTCCCTTTCATAACATTGCTTGGGAGATTCCCGGGCCTCATCAAGTCTGGTGATTTGTTTGTGGGGAAAACAAGAAAGGATTTGGGGTTGGAACCTAAATAGGTTGATATTTGTGAGTGGTGTGTTGTGTACAGATTTGCTTAAACTCTTTGCTCAATGTCATGTCCCCAGGTCGATTATTTCGTTCACTCTCAGTTTGTCTTCAACAAAAAAAGAAACGCTGTCTATAATGTTTCTTTTAAGATTTTGAATATTACAAGTGCTGTTAATTAAGATGAGATTGTTTGCACGAGTCAGAAGATGCATCTCTCTGGTACCATTAAATCAGTGGAGCTTTATTTGTTCGATGTCCCTGTAGTTGATTATATAGTGATTTAAGTTGCATCAACATGGAATACAAAAGCAGAGGAGTGAGGACTAAGGCCTCGTTCGAAATAAGTCTAGGAGTAGCGAGAACCGCCTTATCATCAGATAGAATGACAGCGATAGAACTTGGGGGCAACTGATAAATCATGCACCCCAAGTGGCAGCCTATGGAGGGCGATTTGCCAGATGGTCCGCGGCATTGTTGGCCTCCCTGAATACGTGAGTTGCGATCACTTGCTAGTTATATTGGAGGAGCCTTCAGATACTTCTGATTAGCTGCATATGTGGGCTGGATTGGGGTGAAAAATCAGTGATTAACTAAATTGCTTCCAGTGAATTGGATTCAATTATCACCAATCTAAAGCCTTTAGACTAAGCTAGCTTCAAACCATCAAGAATTCTCCAGAGTTCTGCAAATTCCTCCCAACCAAGTGCTGTCAGAATTCCTGGGCAACGGACTAGGCCCTGTAATGCCGTGATCTAGCCTTCTAGACCCGTCACAACTAATTTTAGGAGGTTTAGTCCAGGAGACAAACTCCTCAGAAGTATAGGTAGCATGGCGAATACTCTATAGGTTGAGGCTAGCCTTCCTTACGTCATCAGACAGGTCCCTGATATGCCACATGGTTCTATCCACACTGGAATCCTCATTCGCAAAAATACATGAGTTACGTTTTTCCCATAACTTCTGATGGCTATACCAAATGTGATTTTCCAGTGGTAGTCTTGACACCTAAGGTTGCTGATCAACCAGGATTTTAGACATCTTGAGCATCCTTCTCAATTTACAAGAGACCCCTTTATTCATCCTTACCGAAGCACTCTTATGACACTCTCATCCTCATCCTTTACTATTTGTTGACCTTCTCACCTTTTAGTCTCATGGTTTGCTTGTTAGAAATGTTAGGGTCAAAATTTTAAATTCTTCATTGCTAAGAAGTGAGAGGGTAGATTAATGCTAGAATGCAACTCTTCTTAATTGATCCTCAGGGAGACACTTAGCAGTAAGAACCACAGTTCTAAGGCAAGTAACTGCACGTAGAATATAGACTAACTAGATCTTACTCCCAGTGCGGTGCACGAGCAGTTCGTGTTTTTGAAGGTAAATGGATGTGTGATGCTATGGCATTGAGTAATGTATTAGCATACTCGTAAAATCAATTTACAAATGAGAAAAGAATTTTTTTTTGTATTGATGATGAGATTGTATTGAGAATCTTTAATTTAAAATAAATTAACATGGGAGTCGATAAATAATCAAGACAGCATGAAAAGGAACAATTTCATCAGTTGAACTCGACACAAAAAAAGTATAATTATTATTTAGATCTCATAGGAGCTTTTAGAAAACAATGATGAGGTTGTTATTTTTACTTTTCAATGTAGAATATGGTAAAGCTTATTATAAAAATTAGTGTAGAGGTGCATTTTTGTTGTTGAATTATTTTCGAGAAGCACCTAATATCATAAACAATTTTACTCTTAAAGTAATTAAAATGAAGTATTTTTATCCTTGTCAATAAATTTCCTAATGGTCAACATAATAGTTTCAGCTAGCATTTTCTAACGATTAATGTTAAAAATTTGATTACAAGAGCAAAAATACTTTATTTCTAGCCAATAATTTAAGGTGTAAAGTGTTTTTTAGAGAACATTTGAAGTGCAAAAATGTATCTTTATCCCAAAAATTTTGGACACACTATCTGAAGTTTTAAAACTTGATAAATTTATAAGGATAAATGTATATTTTTTCTTTTAAAATATTCTCTAAAAAATATCTAATATTTTAAAGTATTTGTTATAATTTTTTTCCTTAAAATAATTAAATAGGAGTATTGTTTATCCCAACATTTAATACAAAGATGTTGATAGTTAGTATAAGGTGATAGAAGATAGTTTTTTTAAAAAAATTTACCTATAATCTAACCCTTTTTTTATAGGAAATGAAGACGAGCACACAAGGATTTGACAAGAGAGAAGATAGTTTGACTATTTATGGTTTGCCACCAGGATCTGACTTATCAATCTAGAAATAACGAGAATTGTAAAAACCCAATAGCAACCTATGAATATAGATCCAGAAAAAACAATCTAGAAATACAAATTTGTTTAAAAAATTAAAGTAGCAACCCGGATCTGTATCCATGGCATAACGAGAAAACGATAAACAACAGACAGAAATGGAGGACCCAAATCTTAAAGAAATTGATAACCAATTACATGAATTGAAGACCCAAATCGTCATTCGAAGGAGCATCGTCATCCGTTGTGGGTTTCATTTTGGGGGTGCATTACTGTCCATTGTTCGAAGGAGCATTGTCATCCATTGTCCGTCGTGGGTTCAAAATAGCATTGCCGTCAGTTATCATCATTCAAAGGAGAAAATGGTCATGAGGAACGATTTCAAACAGTGATTTGAAAACTGTCATCCTCGCCAGAGTCATTGCCGTCTAACGCCACCGTTACCGGAATCATTGCCCAATCAGATCGCCTTCTCGTTCCAGATCGCGTTCTTGTTCCAGATCCGTCTTGCTCGTCCCCAGTTGCCTGGCCAATCTTCTCCACCTCCATCGTCTGTTAGATCTCCAGATCACCTCCATAGCGCAAAACTCGACAACCCAAATTTGGGTTTAGAGTTTAGAGAGAAATCAAAGGTGGCGTAGGTCGCTGGAGAGAGAGAATCGAGCAAAACTCCTTTTCTACCCTTTTTCTTCCAGTCAAGAAGTCAGCTCACTTCCACCTGAATTAGATGTGGCATTTTCGAAGTCCTAGCCAACATTTCTTAACGTTCAAGGTAGAAAATGCTCCTATTAATTGTTTTAAGAACGAAAATATTATAACAAATTCTTTAAGATATTAGGTGCTTTTCAAAAAATATTCAGAGAAAAAAATGCACCTTCACGCAACTTATTGAAAATCGATCATCAAAGAATTACTCTTGCTCTCGTTGTTGAGCTAATAGGGGTAATTGATTTTTTTTTTTTTAAATAAACTCTTACAATGGTCTGAGTGTTTAGGATAATACTTTCCATATTACAAAAAGAGTCGAGCAATGGATGTTTTAATAATGATTTTAGTCATAGACATTGACAATACAAGTTCCTTATAATTTCAGTCAACTAGCATGAAGAAGACGTTCAAATTTTAGAAATCTTGTAAACTGGTTGACGGTAAAGTATAATGAAGTTGCAAATAATACCTTCCATACTACAAGTTAACTAAGCCAAGGGTAAATTAGTAATAATTTAACTTTAGATATGTGTAATACAAGTTATACACAGTTACAATCAACTCACATGAAGATAAAGTTTAAAAGATAGGATTTTAGTTTTTTGATTAATGGTAAATCAAGTCATCATATGCGTTCCCTCAGATAGGATTTTAGGAAAGTACAATGGAGTTGCAATTGATAGAGTCCACAGTAACATATGGGTTGAGCTACAATTGAAGGATATCCTAATAATGAATTGACAGTAGAAATTTATAATACAAGTTATGCATAGTTACATTTAATGGATGTGAAAATAACAATATAAATCAAGAGATTCACTAAATTGATTAACGGTAAATTAATTTAAAGAAATATGCTTGCTTTTCTCTCAAAATAATTCATATCCATGCAATGGAAGAGCACTTCAAGGCCTATAGGTTTGATTCAATCAAGATGATTGCTTTCAAAAACTGCTTTCTGACAAATGTGATTTGTAATTGTAATCTTGTGCAATTTACGTAGGCTTTGACACTTCATCTATATTCCTCACAAGCATACCATGTGTTCTCATTTTTAGTGTTAATTTGTGACAACAAAGTTTTGCTTTAATGTTACAAGCCAAATCACTCTTGATATAAATTAAGATTGCCAAATGTGAATGACTAAGCAATAGTTTTGCTACAATATCACTTGACACAAGGATTAAAACAATATCACCTCAAGTGCAAATGACAAAAGTCAATGCATTTCAAAGAAAAGTTTTTCTTGGTCGATCATATCCATTCAATTAGCAAAAGCCTCCTGTTAATGAGACTAGAGTTAGTATTGAATTAGAGATAATCTTGCACCTGCACTCATTGGTCAATGAAGTGATTAGTTTGTTAGCTTCTTCTTGCAATGCATCTTGGTCAACATTAAATTCTTGTAAGATGTTTAGTTGCTAAGAATCTCTGGATTCAATAGCACCCCACACCCTCTTGAAAGAGGAAGGTTGTGAATTTCATATCTTAAATAGAGTAGGACTAGCCCAGCCCTTTGAAAGGTGAGGGCTTAAAAAGATTAGCACCGGTAAAGCCAGTTACATCTTAAGGGTTTATTTTCGCCATCCCGACTCTAACTCTCAGGACCTTTGCCTTATTTTTTTCATTATTTTAATAAAATTAAAAAATATATATTTAAAACCACAAAAAAATTGTTACACATAACATTAAGTTTTAAAAAATAAATTTAAGATAATTCATACAACAACAAAATTAAATTTAATAAAAAAATAGCAAAATCACATTTTAATCCTTATAACAATTAAACTTTGCTAGCATCATTGTCATCAATATCAATATAATTTAATCTTTCTCCTTAGATTGAAGCTTGAAGGATCAATTGAAGGAAGAAAGAATGAGAACACACTTGACAATCAAATGAAATGATGCTAGGGCTTAAGAGCGTTGACCTTTTTTATTTTAGGGCTCAAAAGGGCAATTTATTATTTTACATACCAAAGCAACAACCTAACCCTAAATTTTTTTGAACTTAAAAGGGCCAGCCTAAAAGGCTCAGTCCTCATTGACGGCTCTAACCCCATATGGTTTTAGTGCAGGTGAGTTGTGTTATTGTTTCCTTTAGGGAAAGGGTCACCCTTCTCTACAGGGGAAGGGGTAGGTGTATGGATGTGTGTCAGGGTGTGTACATTTGATACAT